TGGGATAAAAGTTTTTGTGTCAAAGTGGAACAAAAGAACCCATTATATTTTTAAATGTTATGGGTTTATATCTATTTTTTTACAATTTTAATAAATTTTTACATACAAATTTTTACTCCGCGTCAAAAGTTATGGGTTCAGTTGAGCCCCTAGTTATTACTGAAAATATATATAAAAAATATTTTTTCCACGGGTGTGGGCAGAAAAAACAAAAAAATAATAATTTGAAATTACAAAAAAAAAAAGGTAAAAATTTTTGGGGGGGGGGGGCAGTGGGGTGGGGGTAGGGATAGCAGCTGGGTATTTGCACGCTCTGCATTCTTACCTGGAAGAAAATTTTTTGTGTCAAAGTAGAACAAAAGAAATGAAGTTGGAGGGCCAAAATGGAACAAGACTGAGTTAGAATGCCAAAATAAAAAATTGGGCCAAGATTAATGGACTGTATATATATTTGGCCTAGATTTTTTATTGCATGAACATTTCTTTCTTCTTTTTCTTTTTTTATTTTTCCTTTTCGTGACTTGATAGAATATATCATGTCACGAAGTTAATTGTTCTATAGTAAGAGCTCTCTACCCAATACAAATAAATATATTATTTTAAAAATTATAAAATATTATTAAATAATGTGATTGGTTTGTAAAATAAAAGTTAAAAAAAGTATAAGCTACTAAAAAGATAATGTTGATCTCGAAGAAAACTTGGCCATAGAAGTCCTCAAATACATCATTGTGATTTATAAGGACTTCTGGGAGAATATTTTATGAAAATTATTGATATATTTGTGACCTAAGTAAGCAAATAATAATATTTCTCAAATAAAATAAATTTAAAAATTAAATATTTTGATCTTTTGGGAATAAAAATGTTGGCTTATAGCTCATAAAAAAAAATTGGATAAGTGAAAACATCTAAAAATTACTGATGTGGGCTTAATATTTTACAACAAATAATTAAATATATAGAAATATCAAAAATTGTCATTTGTTGAAATAACTAAAAAGACGATGACAATTCGTTAAGAATAGATTTCGTCTATAAATTGAATATGTTTTTTTTTTCTAAATTAAAATTAGGACACCAACGATGATATCTTTCTTCTTTCATTGGTTAACAAAGAAAATTGCATCTTGTTGAGCCTTAAGTTTTATTTTTCTCATAAATGAAAATATTTTGTTTTTGTTCTTCATGCTTATAGCACACGTGATCCCTATATACAGAGGCGGATCTAGGATTTTAGTTCTATAGGTTCAGCATTTAAAGTTATGGGTTCATATCTACGATTTATTGCAATTTTAATGATTTTTTACACTTAAATTTATGATTCGCGTTGAAAATACTGGGTTCAGTTGAACCCGGTGCTTCTATACTGCATCCGTCATTGCTTATATATTATGACTATTGCATAGAAGTTCATATATAAAAGGATTTAATGTGCAATTTTTTTAGTTGATTTTTAAATTTCTAAATTTTAGAGAAATAATTTAATAACTATTTTGTCCAATGTGAAAGTCATTTTTAAAAGGTAAAAAAAAGCGAACGATATTTCGCTAAGGGTTTCTTGCTATAAAAAATTATCATTTGTTGCAATACTTGTCGCTCCCCCTTTTTTTCTCGTGAAGTCGGATTTATGACATTTGGAGGGCCAACTCATTCCTTTTGGGAACTGGGTTTTGTGTTTGAAGAGTCGCCACCTAATTATTAAGGTGCATTAAGACACCAATAGAAATTCAATTCTAAGTCATTTGAATAACCAGAGTTTGGGTAAGGCTTGAAATTATCCTAAGGGAAAGGTGTTAAGCACCCCTCAGGATCCACTAGTGTGGTTTTCGGCTAGATAATTATTGTGAATTTGGGGTGCAATTAACATATAGGCAAATAAGGCTCAAATAAGAGGGGATTTCAACGCATAAAAGGAAGAACATTTTAAAGAAGCGTTTTTTAAAAAAAAGAAAGAGTTTGCAAATAAAAGAAAGGGGTCCTAGGTTTATATTTAACATGGATCACCCCACACAATGTCCGGTAATCACTCCTCAATGAGGGGATACACGTGACATTATCGTGTGGTCATCATATCCATATCTACCTTTTCCCACCCCGTTTAAGTTACTAAAGCGTGGATTGGTCTCGAACACTATTGCATGCTATTACCCGTCCCATTTCTATCAGTCGCGGAGGCACTTAGGACTACTAACTAATCTTAAAGGGGAAGGATATTTGGCTTATTTGGAAGTTTCAAAGGTAAAAATTCTAAGGCGGCATACAAAACAGATAATATGGCATATAAGGGGAAACATATAAACAGACAAAGGCTCAAATACACCTCCTTGAACAGACGCACATAACTAGCATGACTTACACATACTTTTTAAGTCTAATTAAATACTAAAGACGAGGGGAGCCCGGTTATTGAAGTAGTTTAGTTTATCACATAACTCAGGTAAGAAGTCCGAATCAGACCTGCCTGCTGGTTGTAGCGATTAGCAAAAGCGGATCCAACTTAGAGTTATTACGCTAATGCTTGCTTAAGTGTATATTGATGATACCCTATAAGCGTAATATCTACTGAGTTCAGAAGGTGATGAGACAGTAAAAATTCGAAACAAATTGTTTGAAATCCTGTAGGCATGCCTGCTAAACCTTGTTAAGTGAGGGAATTAGACTATTAAAAGGAGATTCATAATGGACAAAATTAGACAGACAGATTCTGCAAGTGATGCTATCTACTATTACTGATTTTAATCCCTATGAATATGATATCTAACATTGAATGTAAATGAAGCGGATTAGACTTATTTAAGAATCCCTACAGTCATGATTTCTACATGTTACTGATTTTAACACGTTACTGGGTTATACCCATTTGGGCCCTAAAACAAGATATCTAAACGGTGACAAACATGCAGAACTTTAGAATGAAATCCTATAGGCAGGTTATCTAGATGTGAAGTTGAACAAGAAGTCCTATACACATGGTTTCTAAATGCAGTTTGCATAATTAAAATACTTTATAGGCATGATTTCTAAATACAGTTTGCAGAAGTAAAATACCCTATAGGCATGATTTCTAAATGCAGTTGAATATGCAGAATTTAAAGTAGTCCTATAGGCATATTTTCTAAATGCAGTTGAATATGCAAAATTTAAAGTAGTCTTATAGTCATATTTTCTATCCTTGCATGCATAGTTACACAACTCTTTTCACTAGCCAGCCCCAAATATTTGTTACAAACCAGGAATACTAAATACATCAGAAAATGCAAAGAAAAGAATTACAACCAGAGGAAGCCTGATTCTTGACTTCCTCACTAAGTTATGAGATGAACCAACTCAAAATACCATTGATCCAAAGCCTTTCTCAGCCTTGAGTGTGTCAGAGCTCCCTAAGGGCTTTAATAGGACCCCGGGCAGTGCTCACACCCAAGTTTCATAATCAGAATATGGACAAGTGCAGTGTGGAAATGCCAGCCCTCATGTGTCCAAGTTCAGAGGGAGCTCATAGGTCCCAAGGCAAGGCTCACATGAAGGGGGCAGAACTTAAGTCTAAGAGGAGAGTGCAAGTGCAGAAACAGAGTTTTAAGAACTGAGGAAGTAA